GCCCCTACCGCTTACCACTGACCCGCCCTCCTCTCTACTCCCTCCACCGCAGGCTGCTCCACCGTTGGCACCGACCTTTGTACATCCTCGTGTCCTGCTTTGCCATGCAGGTGCGTGGATGTATCCTGTTCCTTCTGCCAGCCTGTCATACAATGCGCGCACACGCACTATCACACACAAGTATGCATGCAACACCCCCCATTTCCAAACCCTTACCCCAACATGCGTCATGCCCTCCCTTTCAACTCCTCTTCAGGTTGTGTATCAGCGCTGGATGATTGGCCCGGAGATGGTGACGGTCACGGTCGTGAGTGCGAAGACGCTGTTTTGGATTCGCGTGGCTGCCCTGTCGTCCCTTGCCTCCATCATCCTCTGCGATGACACCATGGACCTCTTTGGCCTTCGACAGGTGTGTGTGTGTGTGTGTCGAGTCTCTGACATGATCATGTCATTTGTCATACACACATACACAAAACATACACCACACCACACACCACACACACACACACTCTCTCTCTGTTTCTTTGCGCCTTTCTTTGTCTCCTGCTCTCTGGCTGCAGGCGTTGTTGAACCTCAGAAATCGGCCCGTGTACAGAAAGGCAAAGGCCTTGCAGGTATCACCACCACCACCACCACCACCACTACCCATTATCATCCGCACGCACACACACACACAAACAAACAAACAAACAAACCGGCTTTGTCCCTGAGCAGCAATCCACTTCTGGCACACTCGCAACATTCAACTTCAAAGTTCACCACTGCTTGCAACACCACCACTGCCAACGCAATCACCACGTGTGAAGGATTTGGACATTTCCATTCGTCATCGTCCCTTCCTGTCTGTGCTCTGTCTCCTCCTCGCATATCCAGCCATCACAGCGGACCAACTCTGCTTGGTAGGCTTCGAAGCGCGCTTACATGTGTGTCTGTATGTCTGTATGTCTGTGTGTCTGTGTGTGTGTGTCTGTGTGTGTGTGTGTCTGTGTGTGTGTGTGCGTGCGTCTCTCTCTCTCTCTGTGTGTGTGTGTGTGTGTGTGGACAAGTGAAAGTGTTTGTGGATACGTGTGAGGAACTCAGAACGTGGTGCTCTTTCATGCCGGCTTCATCTTCACCGTGCTCATACCATTGGCTCGACTGCTGCTGCGCTTCAACAGGCTGTCACCTTCGTTGTCTACGCTGCCCTTGGGTTCCGCGTCACGGAGGTGCGTCCATGAACAACACAAAACACAAACACACACACACACATGTGCATGCAAACCATGGCATCTTAAGCATACCCACCCACACCCACACACCACACACCCACACACACCCACA